CCCCTGAACAAAATCTGGGCTGCCCGTTTTCTGATCCCCCACTAAAAGCGACTCACTTTTAGTGGGTTTAATGGACACCACCAAACACTAAAAGGATCTAAAAAGCGCTAAGGAACCGGATGGCTGGAAGCCAGGAATGGATTGGGGTGGCGAAGCCCATCCCACAAATGCCACTGCAAAGGGGACCGAATCCCTGCGTAAGCCAAGGTGAGGAGTATGTGAGGAGTAAGGATTACGTCTGAACAGCCCAGTTAGGCGTACTTCCGGATAAAACCGTGGTTTTGAACCATTTTGGGACATCTCCCAAGCGTGCAATCCCAGGTGAAATGCCAAAACCCTTAGATGGATGGGAAAAACGGAAACCTCCAAGAAACCAGCAGGAAATTCCTTTAAGAAACTCCTTTTTGCGGGTACTTGGTAGAACTTCCTGTGTTTCCTGATGGTTTCTTGCCTATCCAACCTTGGCCCACATCTGAAACACAAAACAAAAAGGTTTCCCTGACTCGGTTCCACGTTTTGTCTACCAAAGTCAGTTGGAAGATTTGGAGGAGACCCCAGTTTGTGCTAGGACAAGTTAGTGGTCGAGCACATGCCAGACTTGAAAGCCCGATGCAAGGGGAGTCCCTTGGTATCAGGCATTGAGATGATAAGACTGACTTGAAGAACCCAAATTGACGCAAGCTGGTTCTCAGTTAAGCAATGAAGGAATGACCCTTGTTTTTGCATCCGCAGTTTGCTAGAAGATCCACTTCCAGCTTATTCCCGAAACCTCTTGAATTCCCACTGAGAACTAGAAAGCCTAGCCATTCAATCAGAACAAATCGCCTGAACATGACCCCTAGCCACAAAACCTGCTCCCATCCGCGTACGGATTTAGGCGGTTTCCAGCAAAACTCCGCAACTTTTGGAGGTTCCCTTCAAAGCTTTAACCCCCCTGAGAAAGAAAAAAAAAAGTAGTGATAGATGCCCTTTAAACCAGCAGGTAAAAATAGAACAATATATTCTTGCGCAAATAGAGGTTGATGGACACCGGCTGAGACCCCCGGCACTTTCCCACCACCGCCCCCCCCTCCTGGTCCCAGCGAGCGGCGGTTAGAGCGCGCGCCTCGTGCGCAGGAGTCGCCGGAAGCTTCGGGGAGCCGCCCGTGATGGGCAGCCGCACCTCCTCCGCCTCCTCGGGGCCCAGCAGGTGCTCCAAGGCCGCCTCGCCCGCTTTTCTGCCCCCGTTTTTGACGGACGCGGCGAGCCTTCCATGACCCACCCCCCCCTTCCAATTGTTGGCGAGGCACCTTCCAATTCTATGACCCCCCCTCCTTCTATGACCCCCCTCAAACGCGCAGCGCGGTCCGGCCCCCTCCTTCTACGCCAAACAACATTTGGAACATGGAACCCTCCCAATTAAACATGGAACCGTTCGACGCAGGAACTTTATCTAGGTCTTGCAGTAGAGAGGTTGGAAGAAGGGTACCACTTTTTGCTCTAGTCTATTTCAGTAGGGGAACCCTCGTGAGAAAGGGCACCTAGCTGGGGGGACCTAGCCTTCCAAGGGAGTGGTGTCTAAGTCTTCTTTTTCGTTTTTTGGCCGGGCTGTCCGTTTTCAGATCCCCCGCTCAGAGTGTTTTTGACTGTGGATTAAATGCCCAAACCCAACCACCAAACCAACTAAAAGCCTAAGACCTTGAAATGACTGAAGGTGTTATCCTCTGAATGGTAACGCCCACAGCTAATTTTGAGAACTCCTCTACATGTGCACTGTAAGGGACCCAGAAACTCAACCCCAGCCCTTTTTGAGTTGAAGGGAGCCCGCCAAACAAGAAGAGCGGGGCGACATCTGCTGCTTCGGGCCTCACATGCCAACATGCCAACAAATAATTTGCTGCTTCTTGTCCATGTTCAGCGAACCTTACCATGTTCTCAGGTGCCAAAGGCTCAGGCAAGCCAACCATCTTCCTCTTTGGTCAGGGGCCCGGGGTTTTTGGTCACCTGCGAGATCCGTCCGAAAAAAGACGGAGCCTTCGGATCGAAGACTAGGTCCAGACTTGAGAGCTTAGAATAAGTTGGTGCCCTATTTTTTTTCGGTAGGCTACTTTAGTAGGGGCTTGCCCTCCCCCCACAAGGGTACAAGGGCGCTACTGGGGGACTAGCCTAGTCTTCCCAAACACAGGATGGGTTGTGAATGGAATTCCCCTCCCCCAACTCGATCTTTCGAGAAGATGGAACCCTCCCCCAAAGCACCGAGCTGGGGGGACCCAGAAAAGAAGAGCAGGGTCGGCGGTCGCGGGCGAGCGGGCGAGCCGGCGGCCTGGGTGTCGTTCTTGGCCCGGCGCAGGGCGCGCCGGGCCTGGCCCTCCTCGAAGCCATGGGCCAAGAGCGCCGAGAGGGACAGAGGGTCCACCTGCGGCTGGGAGTTCTTTTTAGTTTTTTTTTTTGGGGGGGGGGGACGGGGGAGGAGGGGTGTTTTTCGGGGGGGCGAGGGTGTGGGGTGAGGGGTGGGGGGTGAGGGGTGGGTGGGGTGTCTGGGGGGGGGGCGAGGGTGTGGGGTGAGGGGTGAGGGGTGAGAAGTGGGGGGGATTGATGCGAACACAAAGTCCAAACTTGTTTGTTTGCCCGTAAAAGTGCTCCAAACCCAAAATATGGTCCAAGAACTCCAGGAGTGATAATAGGCAAATAGATTGTACCTAGGGGGAGGGATGCATTGTTGGCGCCCTTGATTCTTGTTGGTTCAGTCTGCTTTTCTTGCTGGTGCTCAGCAGGCAATGAGAAATGGAATGATGCGAGAAAAACCATCCCTGCTTGTGTCCCTCAAGGGAAAATTGATGGCCCTGGTCAATGGAATAAAACCCACCTAAACCAGTGGAACCCATCCATTTCTAACTAAAAAACACCTAACAAGTACATTCCGGCCAGGACCCTGCGACCGCCCCACCCCCATCTCAGGCGCCCGCCGGCTCCGACGGACCGGCGCTGGGCGGAGCCCCTCGTCAGGGCGCGAATTTTAAACGGAGCTGGCAACGTCCCCGGCGATTTTTGGGCCTTCCCTGGCCTTCCCTGGCGGTTTTTTTTCTGAGGGAAGGTTGAGAGACTCTTGGTGTCTGATGCGATTTCCTGGATGGCAATTTGAGATTCGTTGGTGTGTGTCTGCTATTTGGCAAGCTGTCAACTATCCTTTGAAGGGCCAACAAGAACCACGGGTCGTTGTGCAGCAACCCATGACCACGAAAAGATTCCGTGAAGACAGAAAATCAGCCATAGCAATCCACTACTTTTCTAGGGGTTGATTCCCCATTCTTTCCAGCCATCGTTCTTTTAAAAAACCAGCCATTTGTTTGAGGGTGTTTGGTGGTTTGTTTCTAGAAAGAAGGATCCCTGGAAGGAATGGGGAAGTTACCCCTGGAACTTTGTCCATTCGTGAATCATGTTGTCTCCAATAAATGCATCACAGGGATTGCAGGCACCAAGCCAGGGGTTTCAAGACCGTCGGGCAGGAAACACAAGGCTATGCATCCCTATATAAGATATTGCGCACCCGAGCTAGCACCCGACTGCCATTCCAGTGAACTCAGAATTCCCTTCAAAACCAGGAAGAAATACATTTGGAACACCAAAACAACACGGTTTAGCAACGGCGCAACTCCAGAAACGCTCGCGATCCACCAAGCTGCGCCACCCCAAACTGGGCTGCCCGTTTTCTGATCCCCCGCTAAGAGTGACTCACTCTTAGTGGACTCACTCTTAGCGGGTTTTAGATGGAAACTCCCACTCAACACCAGAAGGACCTAAAAAAAGCTTGTCGGAGCCGCATGGCCTGGGCTTGCCGACCCAAAACGGGGGGCAAGCCTTCACTCCGAAGGACCCCGTCCGCGAGGAACCGCGAGGGAACCCGTTCGACCGCGCGCCTGCGCGGTCCTTGTTCTCCCGCGCCAGGCGCTCCAGCAGCCGGCAGGCGAAGGCCTCCCGGGCGCGCCAGGCCTCGGCCTCCGGGCGCCCAGGAAGTCCAACCAGCCAAAGGCGCGCAGATTAGCTTCCGAATGATTGAGGGTTCCATGTTTCCTGGTGACAAGGTTTAACCTCTCAGAGGTCAAGAAACATAGTGACACAAAAACGCTGGAACCTAGCGATTACCACTGGCATGGTCTCCACACAGTACACAAGTCCAGACCCTTGGAGAGTGAAGATTTAGGAGGGCTCTCCCTTTCCGTTTCAAATCAAGAACTGGAAGTTCAAATCCCTGAGCCACCAACGCAACACAATCGCTAAGCATTTCCTGTGCAGAGTGTGTCAAGACACAGCGACAACACGATGCACGATGTCACATTCGGATTTTTGTTTGAGGGGAAACTTGTCGCATTAAAGGGACTTATTTTGTCACAGAAATGCCACCAAACCCACTTCCTTTCTCCAACCTATAACTCTCCGCTTGGATTCACTGAGCTCGTTTTCCAACACCTATAACTCATGGGGGTGTTCCTAAATTTGCACCTAATTCAACATATTACCCATGTGTGGTCCCGACCTCGGCTGTAGCCATCTGCAATTCAGGGCGGTCGCTACGTTTTTGATTGAATGTCATGGCTGCCTGCCTCGTCGCTGCTTTTGCAGAGCTCTCTCTGCACCACCGCATCCAGGCATTCCGGCAGCATCTCCTCTCGCACGCTGGGATCCACAACATCCGAACAAACAACAAACAATAAGGAAACCAGCAAAAACAAATGGGGTTGCCTTTTTATTGGGGACCCTCCTTTGGTTGGTGTCAAAGATAAGCCAAAAGGACTTAAACCAGCAAAGACACACCCACATCAGAAAACAAGCCAATTTCTCCAAACCGACCACGAAACCGGCTGCCCTCTGCTTACGGCTCCGTCATAGGGCGAAAGGCCATGCGCTGGGGCAAGACGTTGGAGATGGAATTGGCCGCAGAGGCGAAGAAGTCGTATTGCAGGTGCTTCAGGGTCTGAAGGCCTCCGAAAAAGGAAAAAACAAAAAAGAAGGGCGAGGGGTTCGGAACAAACGATTCCATTCATCTTTTAGGTCCTCCAGTGGAGAGGTTCGAATAAGGGTGCCCGATTTTTTTCGGCTGTCTATTCTAGTAGGGGAACCCTCCCCAAAAAAAGGGAAAGGGCACTGACTGGGGGACTAGTCTAGTCTTCCCAAACAAAGGATGGGTTGTGAATGGAATTCCCCTCCCCCAATTCGATCTTCCAGGGGGCGGGGATCTGATTCTGCTGCATTTAGCCAGCCGACAGGGTGCAAAGCCTTGTTAAACTTCACGGGGGCATGAGATCAAGTGCCTTCTGTGCAAACACTTACCCCTTAAAACACCAAGCCCTGGGGAAGTTAATCTTTTACAGACATATAGCCCATGTTACCCAAAAAGTTGAAAAGTTGTGTTTTTAAGAGGTAAGTTCTGTGCAAACACCGTGTCAGCCAAAGGGCTCGGCCCACATCCCCTTCCGTACAGGGCCCACAGAAAGCTGGCACGACCTGGACCCCAAAAAAGTGCCACACGTGCATGTCCCACGGCGCAAAGCATGGAACCCGCAAAACCGTTGCTAGAGGAATCGCCTTTTTGGATCGCCTTAAAACGGCGATCCCATGCAATCTGCAGGATCGCACACTTCAACTTCAACGATTCATAACTGAACTCGAGTTCTAAATGGGCACCCCTGGACATGACCTTTGGATCAGAAAGCGCTCTTTCAGCTTCGTGCTCTCGGAGCGTTCCAACCTTTAGGACTTGGATCCTCCGCTGGAAAACCAAACTGCGGGGCCCAAAGGACCAAAGGACCGCTCTCCACAAAAGACCCGACGCTGGAGGGGCCACGGATGAAACCCACGCCAAAAACACGAGGCCCCCCGCAAAGCAAGATGTGGCAAAACTAGGTCCAGACTTGAGAGGTTAGAATAAGGGTACCCTTTGTTTTAAATGTAGTCTAGTTTAGTAGGGGAACCCTCCCCCAAAAACGAAACGGTAAAAGGGCGCTACCGGGGGGACCTAGAAAAGAAAACCCCTCAAAAAAAGAGGACAAACAAAGGGCGCTGGAAGTCTGGGCAACAATTTCCGTATCCTTGCCAGGTCGCAAGAATCCATGATGTCGCCCTTGTGCTCTTCCAGAATGTACAGCCATTCGAAAATGTTCTGGTTCATTCTGTTGAAGGCAGCCTTGGCATCCATGGGACAACAAGAAACACCGGCCCCCCCCGTCCTCCTCCGCAAAAACAACTACTTGGGGAAGACTAAAACAATTGTAGACCAAAACTGAAGGTGTGTTTTGGGGGGTGGTCGGCGTGTGTGTGTGGGTGTGTTTGCTTGCGGGTGGACAAAGACGCGAGTGCACGTGCAGCAACTTCCTTCGAGAAGCCAGCGAAGGAAAATTAGCACTGCCTCCAGTGGATGCCAAAGATGTTCAAGTCCGGGAAAAACTGACTTGCCCAAAACCCAGAAATAAAAGGTTAACCTTTTGGGGCCATGACTAAAAATGGACCAAAACTGGAAAACCAAAAGGTTAAAAGGTCGGCTTTGGGCAACTGAGAAAAGGAACCCCCGCCAACTTACTGCAATCTATTGTGGTGTCGCAATCTTGAGGGCATCCACCATTCGTGGAAGGTTGACAGGAAGGTTGCGGAAGACTATTGCCATTTGCTTTTTGGGGACCTCCTCCAAGATTGTTGGAAGGAGGGTTCCAAGAACCCTCCAACTTTTGAGAATACCCCGTGCCCAAATGAAAGCAATGATCATGGGAGGGTTTGGGTATGCTCAAAAGGCGTTCTTGGAAGAGCTCCCAAACATCGGCTCGACGCTTTGGCAGAGGCGCCCTGGAGGCTTTCAGCTCTTCCTGCGCCATCTTCCGCCTTCGGTCCGCCTCATCTAAATCCTCAGACGGCTTGACATACTGTGGATGGACGAAATCCTGCACCACTTTGAAACCATGGGAAGCTATTGTTTGTTGGTATTGACAGTGGAATCATCATTCCAGGGAAGCTTAGGTGGTGCAAGATTTCGTCCACCCACTGCATTTCCAGATGCAACCGCCCAAGGGCAGGCCGACCCACAAACATATCAACCCGCATACACCTCTACATGTGCATATATGCACATGTCAATGCACAAATTAATAAATATACACTGAGCACATCATATTCATGTGTGTTTTTGAAAATATCTTTGCGCCAGCTTCAACTGAAGCGGACCAACCCCTCCATTTTGCCCTGGTGAATGGAACAAAACCCATCTAAACCAGTGAAACCATCTATTGTTAACCAGGCTCACCGATCAAAAGGACACCTATGCTTTCAGTTGGGGGTAGCCTCATGTCCACGCTGGAACCCACGGGTTGTCTTGTTTAAGGAAAATAGTCCAAACCAGCACCCCAAAACCTCAGGTTTCAGTTGGTGAGTGGGAGGGTTGGGATTCCACTTTTCTGGGCTGGATGGTGGTTGATAGTCGAGCTTTGTTTCATCCCCCCGTTGCACGGAACGGGGCGGATGGGGGGGGGGGGCTGTATTTGGGCCCCCCCGGAGCTACTAGCCTGACATATGTGTAACTGCCTGCTAAAATCAGATAGATTCCCAGTAAAACCAACAGGGGAAGTAAAACATATTCATCAACACATCGAAAAAAACAGGGATTGACTGTGACTCCACAAAGCCTTGCTTGCTTGCTTGCTTGCTTGTCATCTCTTGGTATGGGCTTGCTAAAAACTGACTCTTTTTTGCAGACCCCAGTAGAAATGAACAGAACCAAAAAACGGGGGGAAAAAAAGAGCCCCAAAAAAACACAGAACCAAAAACGAAAAAGCAAGCAAAAGAAAAAACATCGTGAAGTTGTCCCCCTGTGAGCTGGCATATGCCACCGCCTGGATGGGGGCACCGTAGAACTCTGGTCTCGCAGGAACGGTAAAGTGGACTGAACAAGACGAAAATCTGGGTGTCCATTTTTGTTGATCTCCGAAAAGTTGTTCCTTCTAAGCTCAGGAACCGGAGGATTCGCTGATTCAACGCCGAGATCCCTCTGGTTTTCCCAAACTGGGCCGTCCTCAGACCTGCTTAAAGTTTAACTTCTAGTGGGTTAACTAAAGGCAACCAAAAACCTAAAAAGCCGGATGGCGCATCGTGGGCCACCGAGCAACGGGGCCATTGGGCCGGCGTGAGGTGAGAGGGGATGCTTTGGGCCCCCGGGCGCCGCAGAGCTCGAGCTGCCGCACCGCTTCCTTCAGCGCAGCCAGGCACCTTGGGAGACGGAGGTGGGCTGGGCTGGCGCGCGGTCGGGTTGGGGTGATGTGGCTGTGGGTGAAAACCCAAATCGTACCCCCAGTGAACATCCCAATCCCCACTAGAATAGACTAAAATGGATGGTGCACCTATCCCAAAATGGCACCATTGGTTCTGAACCATGGCCATGTTGGACCCTTTGCGTCCCTGATGTCTCTCTTTCTGTAAAATAAACGCGCGTATTTGTTCGGATTCCCCTCGTACAGGTTCGGTTTAATGATAATCATATTTTCCAGATGCATGACAAGTGTCCAAGGCATGGTGGAAGCTTGTCGTTACCTGCTGGCCTTGGACTTTGGTTCAACAATCGCTTTTAGACTGGAAAGCAAGCGGAACAGAGAGGTCCTAAATCAGTGCGCCACAAGCATTCTTCCACCCTCTGATCTGTAAAGCACATCTGGTTAGCCCGCGAGAAACAACAAGCTCCCCAGAAAGTTGAAGCTTGACAAACCAAACAGCACTGAAGTAGAGGTACGTGCTTCTTTTCATGGAGTTTTTGGGAAGACCAATTTGGTGGAAAGCAATGATTTTGGCACGTTGTCTGGCCAATCAATCCACCCTGGAAGTGGACGTCAGACTTGGTCAACCCATCAGCAAATTGTTTGGATGCCAAATGGAAACCAACCCTGAAGCCAAAGCTTTTGCTGCTCTTTTCTGTTTTGCACTGGCAGGTTTCCTTTGTTCGCTGTGAACCCAGCAACAGCTCAACTTTTGGCAGAGGGTCTAAGCCTGACAAATCTGTTTTTCAGCAGTGAGGCAATGAGTTTTGCTCACTCCCGTGGCCCAACAAACTCAACCAAACATGATCTTGCATGCCACTGAAAATGGTCCAACCCCCCCCCCCCCCCCAACAAAAAAGAAAAGAAAAGAACAAAGAAAGAATAAACATGCCTAAAGTCCATGAACTCAGGGAGACAATTACTTCGTTGGCCCCTAAAGGGACCCAGACTTTGCAAGAGGCAGGAAGTGAGCCTTCGGCAGCCTTCGTGTCAAAACGTCTGCCGAACAAAAAAAAACTGCGCCGCCCCTCGCGCGGCGATAAATTTTGTCGGCGCCGAGGCAACTCTTTTGGTTCCTGGCATAGGTTGCCTTTTGGAAATATAGATGGGTTTCCCTGGGAACTGGAACCAAGCCCGTCTAAACCAGTGGAACCCATCTATTTTAAACCAAGCTAACCTACAAAGGACACCTTGGGGCAGCCTCATGTCCACGATGGAACCAAACTAACTAACCTAAAAAGGGCGCCGATGGTCTCACTGGCTGAGTGGATGGCCCAAAAAAAGTAACCAACCATTTTATATTTACCACTAAAATGGTCGAACCCCAAAAAGTTTCTCAAGTTCATGACCTCAGGAAGTGAGAAAAAGCACGCCTCTGGTTCCACCAAGTGGCGTCTCGCGCTTCTCGAGCTCCTTCCGGAGCCGCTCGTTGTTCGCCAGGTGGTCCTGGCGGCAGAAAGCGAAACGCCCAGCGTCACCTGAGGGAAACTCACAGCATGTTAACCCCGGAGTAACAACTTACCCCTTAAAACTCCAAGCCCTGGGGCCACCCGCCAAACATCCATAATTTGATGTGGCTGTGGGTCAAAACCAATGGTACCATTTTGGGGTAGGTGCACCACCCATTTTAGGACCAATTTTAGTGGGGATCGGGATGTTCACTGGGGGTGTGCGTGCTTGAGGCTTTGGGTGTGTCGACCTAGCCCCCAAGGATGCGAGAACAGATCCTTCCACCACAACTTGTGGGGAACACAAGTGGAACTCGCCCCTGGCACCCTGCAAGGCTGGCTTTCCAGTACCTGAAGTGCCTTTAGGCCAATGACCCTTCGAGGCTGGCCAGCTTCTTCGAAAACAGTGGAAGGGCTTCGCCTCGGGAGGCAGCTCTGAGGAGTTCCGTACGGGGGCGGAATTCCAAACATTCCGCGGGGGAACTTCAGAGCCGAGGGGATGCAGGCGTCCGCATGCACAGCGCAGGCGCGAAGTCATGGGGAATTTGGCCCCTTCCGGGGCTTTTGCCAAGTAGCGTCGTTCACAAGGACTTGCCGGTTGAGGGAGGTCTCCCCCAGAGGGCCCTTGAAACCTGGGTTTGCTCTACGATGTCTTGGGGCAGGAACACTGGCTGAGTGGATGGCCCAAAAAGAGTACCCAAACTTTATATTTACCACCAACATGGTCTTCAGGAAGTGAGAAAGTAAAAAGTTTACCACTTTTATATTTACCACTTTTTATATTTACCCCTAAAAAGTTTAAAGTTTATGAACACAGGAAGTTCTATGAGGGGTCCTTGATGGGAGTAGTGACGTTGAAGGCCAAGTTCCGGTCGAACTTGGCCAGCGCGGAGTGCGGCGCATCCGGGCGCGCCTCGGAAACACACCAATGGCGGTCTCTTTTCAACAAAGGAGAAGCCCGGGTGCTAAAATTGGAAACTGCCCTTAAAAATGGGATATCGCCCATAGTTTTGGGGGTGAGCCCCAACTTTTTAGTTGGAATTTTCAGGGTTCAATACTGTGGACTGTTGGTTGCGAAATCCATTTCGCACTTTGAAACCATGGTTGAATTCCGTTGGGTTTCTGAAGTGCCGAATTGGATTTCGCAGCCATCCACGGTATGCCACACAGCGCCCATTTAAATTCCTGGGATCTTCCAGAACTGGCCTCATTAGTTTACCATGATCAAAGTTGCCCCCTAAGTGGTGGCTTAAAGGATGTTAAAGGGAAACAACCACCATTTGCTGACTTTGAGAACTCCCCAAAACCGTGAAAATAACAACCTGAGAACCTCCCCTGAACGCTGGGCTAAGAGCCCAGGCCCCAGAAAGACCAACAGCTAAGCGCAGCGAAGGCCACAAGCCAAACCCCCGTTGCTGTGGGAAGCCAGCGGCCGAAACCGTGGATTCCCCAGATTCCCCAGAGTGGCAGAAAGCCGCAAGTCGGTTTACACGGGGGTTTCTGGGGGGTACTCCAAAAGCATATGTTCTGATGTAAGTGGTTTATAGCCGATTGGTTCTTGAGCCAAGTTGACACCCCGTTTTGAGCCAAGGCCAAAGCAGGAACTGCATCTCCCAGAGAAGGGAACGACGCCGCAAACTGAGCAATTTCTTCTGTCCCATAAGATGTGGCACCATTGGGATGCCACTTGTTGTCTTCAGGTAACTGTTTGTTGTTCAGGTAACTCCTAGTTGCGTAGTTGGTGGTTTGGATTGGTTTAGGGATTTGAACCCCTTGTAGAGGACAAACCCCAATCTCTCACTTCACCCTTTTACTCTTGGTGTGGTAGCAAAAAACTGCTTTTTTGCAGACCCCCAGTAAAAACAAAACAGAACCAAACAACTAAAAAACCCAAAAAAACACGCCAATAACAGTGAATATTTTAATTTATTCATGAGCGGCTGGGCCAAGAAAACGTCTACTCGAGTTTCAAGAAGCTCAAAGATCGCCTTCAGAGCCTCGATCCTGGAATCATCGCGGTGTCTCTTTTGGGCGCCAAAATGCATGCTTGGTGGCTTTAAAGGCGAAACCAGAAGGAACACCCATACATTAACGTTTTAAAGGAAAACCAAAACCAGAAGGAAAACCAAAAGGGCTCCAACTATTGGCTTTAATGTTGTTTGCTTTGGGGGGGTCCCCTACACTTACGAAATTATAATAAACCCCGTCCTATTAACATACGGGGCGTCTAAACCCACAAAACGCACGACCCTTCGCTTTTCATGGGGACACCGGTGCCACACTCAAAATCAACCATGAATCAACTCGACTTGCCATGATTTGTCCGGGTACTCTCTAGTTCCCCGCAAAAAAACATCAATCGTGAATTCTAGCGGTGATTTTTTTCAGGGCACCCTAGACCCCCCTTCTCCCAGTATTTCCTCCCCCTCCTCTTTTCGTGCTTTTCTCCGGGTAAATGCAGCCACGAGCGGGAAAAGCACCCGCCATTTTCGGGGGCCACGTCTCCGAGACCACCGCCCGAGGACCTCTACACGTGCCTCCGGGCGCCCGGGCGATCTGCTGAGCGGCCTCCCGCAGACGGCAGCCCTCCCGCACGAAGCTCCCCTCCTGATCCATCAACAGGCGTCCAAGGCGCGGGGTCGTTTTTTTGGGGGGGGGCTGGCTGCGAGGAAAGGGGTGCGTCGATGTTTTTCTTTGTTTTTGGTTTGGGGCTCGCTGTGAGAGGGGAAAAAAAACGAGCCTCGGTTGCGAATTCTGCTCCCCTGCTGAAAGTGACTAACTTTGAGTGGTTTGATGGAAAACCCAGTAGTTGGCAAAAAGTGAAAGTCCTAACATCCAAGCAAAATGCACCCAAGGAGCCACACATCCGGTGGATGAATAGAAGCATCGAAATTGTTGCACCCCTTGGGGGTTGAGAATGATTCAATGTTCCGTTTCGGCCCAGGCATGACCAAGGGTAACAGCTTGTCCCAATTTAGTTGGGAAGTATCGTCTTTTGGGCTGGCTTCCCCGGTCCCAAATCGGACCTGTCAACCCACACATATGGCTTTCCCAACCCCACCTTCTGTTTCTTGCTGGTGCGATAGGCAGGGAAGGTTGGAAATGACCCTTATAAACTATCCCTTGCCGTTTCCTTCAAGGAGGCCCCCAGGTTCATTCCCTCATTCCCTACTGAGCACCAGGGGAAACCAACCCGAGAAGTCTGAAACCGGAAACAAGAGGGAAACTTTATGTTCCCGAGGGCACCACACACAATAACACGCACACACAGCAAACACAAAACTGGGCCTCGCCTTACCTCAGCATCCCAATGTTTTGGTTGGCCACCACCACCCACCAAAAAAAAAACGGGTCCGCTTGCTGCTTTGGTCGGATGCTCGAAGGACAAAAGTTTCCCTCCCTCTACAAATTCCAGGGCTTCAATATGATTTCACCCCTCCCGGCCCTCCCCTATAACAAACAAAAAAAGCACCAGGCTGCTACGCTACTCTGCTACGCTGCAAGTCATTCTCACTCCGGTATATATATAGATATGACGCGCTCGGACGGTTTCACGCGGGCAACCGGCCTCACCCCTCTGTTTACGCTTGCTGCGCTTTTTTCGCCTGCGCACTGTTTATGCTGCCGGCGCTGCTTCCGCTGCCTGCGCTGCATATGCTGCACTGCTTACGCTGGCTGCGCTGTTTACGCTGCCTGGAGTGAATGTGAAAGCGGTGTCAACAGGTTCGGTGTGGTGCACAAAATGTGATGGTGCAAGCTGTGTAAAAGGTGCAATTTTGCAAACGATGCAGCGGTGCTTGAGCAAAAGTGGTTGACACTACTTGCGCACGCCAACGTCAAGAGGAAACAGAGAAAATGATAAAGGTGATGCTCAAAACCAAAAAGTTATGTTGTGACCCACAAAGTTATGTACGACTTTGATTTGACCCAAGAAGTTATTTACCACTTTGATTTGAATCAAGGTATCTTCAAAACCATACAGGGAGACGAACCATTCCAACAAAAAGAGAGTTGCATTTCCCTGATGCCATTTAACAGCGCTTGTTTGTGGGGGATTATGAAGGATATACCAGCAGCAGTCTCCGCGTTCGGTATCTGGGTACTTTCAGCTTCTCACTGGCCCGAACCACAAAAATCCAAAGCGGCAAGTCCACTTGGCGAAGAGCAACAACACATTTACTCATGGGGGGCTGGGGGGGAGGGAGGGGAGGGGGAGGGATCCCAAATAAGCCACTATTTAAGCCCTTAATAAGGCCATATTTAGGGCTTATTTGGGCTCCCTCCCTCCCCCCCTCCTCCCCCCCAGCCCCCATGATTTACCCAAATGCCCACGCAAAATGTCTCCTGTCTCTGCTGCGATCGCAGGGCTGCACTACTCGTTTTTTGCCCCGCAAAAAAAAGGAAAGAAAAACAAGCAGGTCCATAATATCCGGTGGACCTTGAACTCTACAATGTCCCAAAAAAGATTCCAGGAAGCATGGCCAAACTGGGCTGTCCGAAATTATCCCCTGCTAAACGCTTCTCCTGTGCGTTGTCCGTCGGAAAACTAAAAACCTGAGCTGAACCGGAGGATTCGTGGGGTAGGCCACCAAGTTGGACGCCGACAAGCCTGTATCTGCTTCAACTCCTCGGCCAGGCCATCAGATAGGCTCTGCAAGCCTGCACAACATGCAGGAAATCTTACCATGCCTGGAGTCTCCATTCCCCTTTAAAAATTGGTTAATGACGCCATTAATTGGGGTAATGACCCCATTTTTTAAGGGTCATATAGACTCCAGGTGTTTCCAAAACCCGAAATACGAATCGGGTTCTCAAGCAAAGGATGCTTACCGTGGTGAGCTTTGTTTACCCCCGAATCGGTGCCATAAATCATGCAAGACACATTCCCTAGGCGAATTTTATTGCGGGAAATAAAACCCTTTCTGAGAGAATGCTGGCAGTTTGGCACTTTATTTAAAGGGAATCCCCTTGGTATCAAGGACAGTCATGCTTTGGCCCTCCATGCGATTCCCCACAAGCATAGAATCACACGTCGTCAACACAAACTGAAGCCCCGCATCCCGTCATCGCTTTCGGCAAGTTGTCCGCAATTATGGGATGGAGACTGATTTGGAAAAGCCACACGTTGAACTTTAATTAGACAACTTGCCCAGGCTGGAACAAATGGCACCCTGGGAATCTGAGACGGGGTTGCTCTTTGACTCGTTCAGAACAGGCACAGGTCGTGCCCATTGGGGACTCCTGCGTGTAGGAACTTGTTCGTTGGTTGAAGTTCAAGGGGACGTCAAAGCATATTGCACGGGACGCGGACCACAAAACACAGTATCAACACGGTGCAGGGCCAACCTGAGAAGTGGAACATCCAAAAGTGGGTGTGTTCACGGTGAAATGGACAACAAAAACAAAGGAACACCAAACAAGGCTTGAAAGCTGTGTCGGGCTAAGAATGGGTGCCGAGAATCCATGCCCTACGCCAGTTCTTCCTCCGCACCTGCTGAGAGCTCATGGACACCCTGCCTAAGGCCGGCTGTGAGGTTCGGGCACGGAAAGGGAGATTTATCTGGGTGAACTTTTTCATATTTCACCAACCTGAAATAAGGTGGTTGGGGGGTTATTCCCCATGTGATTTTCTACTGGTAAGGTGCTAAGGCTCAAATGCTACTGAGGTGTTCTAAGTACTAAGGTGGCTGGTTCTGCCAAGACTCTACTCAGATTCTACTAAGATTTTACTAAGGTGTTCTACTGTAAGGTGTTACTAGTGGATTTCCCGTGGAAAAAATGAATCTTAAGGGGGGACCTTCCCAAAACAAAGGTTGGAAAAGGGCGGAATCCACTGGGCAACTAGGAAGGTGTTAGGGTAGGTTCCGCAGGTACGCACATGTTGCGCTGCAGGGTTTTTTCGGGTCAGCATGCTGCATGCTGACAGGCCCCTTGGGCGCGTACCAAAAAAATCGCTCCCCCGAGCCCGAGGTTGAATCGGTTGATAAAACCGTGAAAGAAGGAAGGCTTAACTCCTTCTTTGATGATAGCACATGTTTTTAAGTTATCCAAGGATATTTTATGTCTTAATTCCTTGCTGAATTTATCAGATTTCATTGCATTTTGTAAATCATTGGACTGTCTTCTTAATTTTGGTGCAACTTTATCTTGTGCTCCAAGTGCCTAAAATGACTAGGTCCTCCAGTAGAGAGGTTAGAATAAGTTGGTACCCTATTTTTCCTGCCGTCTATTTTAGTAGGGGAACCCTCCGTTAAAAAAAAGGCACTACTGGGGGACCTAGATGAAGGTCGCTTCGTGTTTTGGCTGCACTTCAATTTTGTTACACGTAAGAACACCAACTACATACAGAACTCCCAAATGGAAGCAAGCCGCTTACTTCCTGCCAGCTACCGGGGGGTTGGCTAACTTCCCGAATTTCCAGTGGCTTACTTAGGCGACTAAGGTGTTGGCTTCGGAGGACAAAGGCACATGCGGGGGTCTGGGGAAAAGAACAAAAACCAAAAAAAACACATCCATGTTGGATGCCGTTTGGGAAAGCAAACAATCTAGGCTCTTTTTTGCAACTGCGTGTCAACCTCAAATGCCAAAAGAAGCCTCACTTTCACTCGGACTTCTCCAAACATATCTGCTTCAAAAACGGTGCCCGGGCGCTTCAGACTTCAGGCGCGCGATTCGACATGATGACACGGTTTCCTCCTCTTGGGTGTGTCTTGAAAGTGAGGGTACCCATGTTTTTTTTGTTTTCTGTGTTTGAAAGGGCACTGTTTAAAAACAAAGCCATGACCCACCCTCTACGCCTCTAGGCACTCCCCCCCCCAACAAAAAAAAGTCTATCCAATGATCTGACCAGCCTCTAGGCACTCCCCCCCCAAAAAAAAAGAGGTCTATCCAATGGTCTGACTTTCTTAGTGGCTTGCCCCAAAAGTCCAAACTGCTCACCGCCAAAATGGTCCAACCCCAAGAAGCTTAATGAGTTCAACGCGGCAACACGCTACCGAAAGCCGGATTGGCCAAAAGAAGTCGGAACTGTGTATTTGCCACCAAAATGGTCCAACCTGAAAAAGCGAGGAATTTCCGAGTACTGGAACGGAAGTGAGCTGAACAGGGCTGTGGGAAATGACGACTTCTGTGATACAACAGACCGGGCTTGAAGAGCAAGATCCGCTTCTATCACAGAAGTGGTTGGATAGAATCCGAGTGATCCCACAACCCCGAAGCCGCAAAAAGGACAAACATGCAAAACACACAAGACACATATGGCCATGGGTCAAAATCCAAATCGGTTAGCCCTCAGTGCACATCCGATTCAATCCAACCACTAAGCCTAAAATGGGTGGTGAATTCACCTACCTACCCCAAAACGGGATGCCAGCACGGTTTTGACCACCGCCAAGTCACTGGCTCTTCAGAAAAAACCTTACATTATACACCTGAACATACACCTGAATGGAATCCCAAAACGGTTTTGACCACCTTCCCGCCATCTGCGCAGCGAACCGCATGCCAGCGAAGGCGCGCGAAGGAGCCCAGCGTCTCGCTGAGCTTCTGCAGAGTCTCGTCGAAAGTCTTGAAGTCTTCCACCATGCCGCTGAAAACCTCGGCTTCCGAGAACGCAACCCCCCCATTCCTTACCCCTTAAAACTCCAAGCCCTGGGGAAGTTAATATTTTACAGACATATAGCCCATGTTACCCAAAAAGTTGAAAAGTTGTTGAAAATGACACCACAAATGGAGATCTCCAGAATTCCCCAATTCCATTCTCAAGGGCTGGTCCGTTACTTCCATTTGCAAGAAAGGCCCCTGGAAAAAACAAGCCTAGACAGATTCCCTCCAAACCAACCAGGGAAAATAACACTGCCTAGATCGCCAAGCTGCGATCGCTTTTTCGGTCAATGTTTCTGGTTTTTGAGGTCAAGCGCATGGAGAGAAAAAAAAGCCACTGGCGATCCAGGTGTCTTCACAACCCAAACGCTATGCATCTTGCAAAAAACAACTGACGGTGTTCTGCAGCCGAACCTACAAATGAGAACCGAACACCGGAAAGAAACAAAAACCACTTGCCAAGCCAGACTTAGACCCCCGTTTTCGGGCCCCTGCAAAAAGTGCTACACCTTTCGCTGGATAGAAGATTAAACACTTGACGGAAGCCCAGAAAAGTTAAAAAGGCTAGAAAGGCAAGCTAAGTCTGGCAACTTGTGACAAAACTGGGTGTCCCTGTCAATTTGGTTTTGCTGAAGCAAGAGCTGAGTTTCCGAACGAAAAATCGCTTGCCAGGCCCATGTGGTGTTTTTAGACGATCCTCACAAACCCCCTATGTAGAAAATCATTAAAACAATCGAATACGATATGACAAATACTTACGACATCGACAATGGCAGTTTCACGTTGACCTAATTGGGCCAGAGTCTTGAAACCCCAGTGACGTTCGAGTGGGACCAAAGGATTCCATCGGCTGTACCACGTCAATCAAACAAAAACCCTGTGTCAGAACTTCCCAACTTGAGCTGTGTTTCCCCCCTCCGAGCTCCGTCCCCGCAAGCGGGGAAAGCACGTCCTCACAGAAATCCCCCAGTTGCACTGTGACTATGTGAGAACGCCCTTTGTTGTAGAAAACTGGTTGGGAGTCCGGAAACGGACCGTTTGGAAACAGCAGGTCCCGAATCCAGTTTCCTCCCATCGACATGGACGGTCTCGAACGGGCTTTTGACAGAGTCAGAGCCACAGAGCCGCATCTGCCGTCTCGGCTTCAGTTCAAGTCGCCTCCGCAAATGGCTCTTCGCTTCTCACCTCAACTATCCATCCGCTCCTAGACCTGTGGATTTCACCCTCAGAGTAACTAGGTCCTGCAGTAGAGAGGTTGGAATAAGGGTATACCTACTTTTTTCCGGTAGTCTGTTTCAGTAGGGGAACCCTCCCCCAAAATAAAAGTCGGTAAAAGGGCAGTACTGGGGGACCTAGCTAATTGAGTGCAAGAGTTGAAAGTCCCAAAGAACAGATAAAGTGGAACCGCTGGAAGTCTGGGACGCTTCCCTTTCGGCCTCTCTGCCCAGCAACTTTCAGGCCTGGTTAGAAGTGAGGGGAAGCCCCGACCAAGTCGGTCGGGTAGAGTGGAAAAGATTGCCGAGACGAAATCGAAAAGGGCCGTGGCGGCTCTTTATTCAGACCAAAGCTTGGCCAACTCCGTGCGTCGACGGGCCGGCACGGTCAAATGAGGGGAACCTGATCTCAAGAAGAACTGCGCTGGGTATCTGTGCTTTACTTACCCCTTAAAGCTCCAAGCCCTGGGGAAGTTAATCTTTTACAGACATATAGACCATGTTACCCAACAAGTTGAAAAGTTGTGTTTTTTAAGAGGTAAGATTCCTGCCAAGTTTTCTACTGGTTGCTGGTTGGCTGCCCACTGCAAAGAGTCGCCCTCAAATACGCTAGGGCCGCTTGCCTGGATTTCCGATTCCTGCAAGGGAAAAGAGAACCTGCCCCCCTGTTCTTGTGTTACCATGTGATAGTGAAACCTGGTAGTTGGTACAGTACATCTTGATCTGGACAGCCCTACCCAAGACCACCTAAAAATAAGACGGCAAATCTCCACCCTCGTTTCTGGCTGAACTTAGGCTTGTGACTCAGGTATCCGCAAACACTGGGTTACTACCTGGATTCGAGCATTGCCACGGCACCTTGGCCCGCACCCTTTGAAGCAAGGCAGGCGTTGGCACAAGATCCCCCGACTAGGCCCGCAAAGCCAAAAAGATTGGCCTTCCCATTTGCTAAGGTGTAACTAGGCTGGACAAAAACGCACAAGCAAAAAAAAAGAGTTTTGCCTGGTTAGTCGAAAACAAAGGGGACCCCAAAAAATCAAAACAAAAAAAAAGGAGCTAATTCTGGGGAAGGTATCTGGGGCGAGGCCAATCCACACAGATTTCGGGCATGTCGGGAGATGCCAGAGGCTCTGCAACTTGCTGGTCTTTGCCCAGGGACACGGGGTCTCGATTCCGACGTGAGCAACAAACCATGTCACTCAGCTTAGGCCATCTTTCGTGGCCACAAACATGCTTCCCTTCTTTAGCTCAAACATAGGGGAGCAAAAGGTGCCCTCAGAACTAGCTGATCTGTTGCTCACTGCGTCGCAGCATTCGATTCAGTTTGCTCATGCCTCCAGCATAGAGCCAACAGAGTATTCCCTACCACAGCCATTGCTCAGGCGATATCTTGCCAAGGTTTCGGTGCAGCGGGAAGAATTACGAGCTACCTCCAGCATCAAATTATACCTAGATCTTCGAATCGGCTAAACTTTTTGCTTTTCTGCAGAAGGTGAATTTCGGCGATTTTTGGTTGGCATTTCGACCTTTTTGTTTGTTGGCTTCGGCGGAAATTTCCGCCGGCAAGCATCTCGGCAAAAAGTTGTTTGCCGAAAGATCTAGGTATCAAGCTATAACATGGGCTCGAAGAATTCGGGAGCGAACGCTTCTTTGTCAAACGCTCCTCAGCGCCTCACTGTCAAAGCTGACCCATAATGCGTCGAAGGGACACCTGCACAAGTCCCCAAAGCATGCTCATACGCGAGCACGCACGAGCTGACAAATCAAACATACAAGCAACCAAGCAAGCAAGCAAACACACAAACGCACGGACGGAAGCAAGGATGCACGTACTGAAGTCTTCAGGATCAGTTGGTAGGCCGCCGCGGCAGCTGAAAGTGCTGGCAATCGGTCTGGCTTCTTTTCCCAAAATGCACACACACACACACACATTCCGCAAGTATCAGCTCATCTGGTCGGCTCGAGGATTAAGTTTGACAACCCAGACTATGGAGTGGGTGACTCACCTGGTCCTGGGAGGCCATCGCCGTCTGGCACAGGGATATCTAACTTCCCGAGCGGATTGGCAAACAAATCTTTTTGTGGCTTCCACTACAACGGTCTTTTCAAGAATCAAGTCCGACATAGGCAGCAAGTACAACGCATATGTTCAACCCAGGGTGTTTTCATGATATGTCCTCCCGAATACGCTGTTCAAATGCAGGAGTTGGGGTCTAGAACGCTGTCTCAGTTCGGTTTAAATAAGGTATCCATGGTCTGCTTCGAGTTTGGTTGCCCAGTGACCTGGCGGAACCCTTGGGATTGACAACTTTTCGGAATAGGGTTAAGTCAACCATCTGCGCAAAGGGGCGCTATGCGCGCCTGGAATCTTCACCTTCACTTACCAAGAATGGTTCTCACCATTCTTGGTTGCTGTTGACCCCCCTGCAAAAAGTTTAACTGTTTGGGGGTTTAATGTAACACACCTTTATTTCCCAAAACTTAAAGATCCGTTGCCCAATGGCAGTCAAGCATGTTCGCCGGGGCGCCGTCATACTTGTCAAGACTTCCGCAGGTTCCCTGGACACTGGCGATGGAGGTCCCGATGTAGGCCGAAGCCGTGACCAGGTCGATGATGCTTGCGGCGCACAGTCTGTCGCCAGTTTCCTGCGTAAGCTGGTTGCGACCTCCGAAACAAATCTGCGGAAGAAAGTGACCATTTAGCTGAATGATATGTAAACCAATTCAATCCAGCGCAAATTCAAGAATGACTTGGATGCCTGCTGATTGACATCCTTTTGCTCGAACATCGCAATGTTGAATGGCCTCTCAGCCCGGAAAGACTCATGTTTTGGCCTCCAGGCCATACATCTATTGCGGGGTGGTTTTTAGGGGAAGCAATTGGTCAGCGCTCTCTCCAGTACTGGCGTGAAACAACATGTTACTTTTGCATTCCTTTTGCGCACCTATTGGCCAAACAGCTGGCTAAACACAGGCCGACAGGACGTGACCAATTCCTGTCGGTTGAATTCCTAACAACACGCCAAAAAAAACAAATCTCAGCATACTCACCTGTAAAACTAGGCTCGAACAGTTGGAGGTCATTGAAACCCAAAACCGCCGTTCGGAGGCCACGTAACCAATTGGACAGCTTCGGGAGTCCTAGCCTTTGGCTTGTGTTTCTGGTTTGAAGCCTCGGACCCGAATGCTCCTTGGTAAACTCCAGGCTCTGAGGGCAGTTGATGACGCTGATGGTGATCAAACTCGCTGCAATCCCCGCCGAAGCAATGGCCGCGGTGACGTCGATTGCGCACTTCGTCTTCCCCTGGTTCCCCTTCGCGTCGAAGTTTTGCGACTCGGCGCAAAGCTCTCAGCGGAGCTAACGGGCAAAACTTTGGGTGTGATGTGTGCCATTTTTGCGGGTACCTGTTGGTTTGCGGTTGGTTGCAAGGCCCTAAAAAACAACAAATTTATGGGCACCCCTGAGCTACTTGACATACCCAAGTTTCTCTATATACCGAGAATGGGGCGCTCCAAACAATTTAGCCGCTTTGAAGCGGGGCACCTCCCAAACCCATCACCCCGAACACAACCCTGAGAATAGGCAAACCTGCAGTTGTTTGTGTGGGGAGAGGTGGCAGGTGTTTGGAGGGACTAGTTGGTCCCATCTGCATTCAGGAATCCAGAAAATACATCAGCACACAAGCACCCACACTCGAATCGGAAGCCTCAGGTGAGGAAACCACATCCCGCAAAACATCTCAGCTTTCCTCCAATTGGTGATGGTTTCCCTTCGTCTATGAGAACCTGGGGTCCAAACCCAAATCCCGAAGCCAGGGTTACCTGAGTACGACACAAAAAACAGAATAACATACTTTACTTGAATGAATCCCCACCCACCTGAGAAATTGGCTTAAATAAAACTAGACTGCAACCACGCATGCACCAACAAGTCAATCCTCAAACCAAAATGACACCAAGGCAGCGTTG